TATGAACACACATCTATCGATAAAGAAATTAATATGAATATGAGCGTCTGTTCTCCTAATAACATATTTTTTGAAAAATTTTGCAAGTGTCAGAAAATACTTTATATAAATATGACGATAAAATGAGTTTAATATATATAAGTATGAACACACATCTATCGATAAAGAAATTAATATGAATATGAGCGTCTGTTCTCCTAATAACATATTTTTTTGAAAAATTTTGCAAGTGTCAGAAAATACTTCATATAAATATGACAAAAAATGAGTTTAATATATATAAGTATGAACACACATCTATCGATAAAGAAATTAATATGAATATGAGCGTCTGTTCTCCTAATAACATATTTTTTTGAAAAATTTTGCAAGTGTCAGAAAATACTTTATATAAATATGACGATAAATGAGTTTAATATATATAAGTATGAACACACATCTATCGATAAAGAAATTAATATGAATATGACCGTCTGTTCTCCTAATAACATATTTTTTGAAAAATTTTGCAAGTGTCAGAAAATACTTTATATAAATATTTTTGTAAAATTTTACAAATGTGAGAAAAGGCTTATAACGACAGTAGAGTTAACAGCCATATTAGAACATTCGCTCATAGAACTTTGGGGGTGTGAAGAATAGTTAGGGAATGGACGCGAGAGTTGATAAAAATAGATGAAAAATGAATCGTTGAAATAGTTGGGAATATTTTGTTTATATTGTAGAATTTAAAAAATAGTATTTGTCCGCAAATTTATCGCTTCTCGGCCGAATGGCTAAGATCAAAGTGTAGAGCCAGCGCCGAGGTCCTATATCTGAGTTACAAAGAGGGCGGATTCAACATCCTACCAGCAGCGGTGTTGGCAGATATTGGACAGGTTGTACACGCCCACCGACTGCTGACATCAAAGGACAGGGCCACGTCAGAACTCAGCAGAGCCACGCTAGCAGACGTCGTCAGGAAACGTGTGGGACACGAACCCAACACGGAGGAGATCGTCGGATTCATAATTTCGGAAGAAGTGGCGATCTCGACAAACCAGCGAACGACATTACGACGACGTGGTCGAGGCTCAGGACGGCAGTGCGAAGGCTGAAACCAAAGATCAACCTGCAGCTGGGATTGGACGAGCTAACCGTCGACAACGCGCCAGTGAGCAGGGAGAACGCAGAATCGAGCCTACGAGCAGCTGCACGACGGTTCTACAAGAAAGATTACTCAGAAAACCGGACCAAGGAAAAGTGTTCGAGGTAACGACACAAAACTCTGCATCAAACCACTTCCTTAGGCAAGGCGGCTTCACAGATTCGCAGAGTGGAAATTTATTCATCGAGCGCGGCTCAACGTTTTACCACTGAAGGGAGTCGTCCATTTGGCAGCGGCGACAAGCGATGCAGAAGATGTGGACAGCACGACGAGACCCTACCTCACGTCATCAATTACTGCAAGCCGCACCTGAGCGCCATTACGAGGAGACACGATAGCATCGTGCAGAGACTGATTACGGCGGCAAAGAAACCAGCGGACGGAGCCCTATACGCTAACCAGCCGATACCAGAATACGACGGTCAAGAGCGACCGGACATCGTTATCATAGACAACAAGGAGAAAAACAGCTGCGATAATCGATATAGCAGTGCCTTCGAGAACCGGACCGAGGCCTTCCAGACAACTAGACAGCTTAAGAAGGACAAGTACGCCGCACTTGCTGAGCACTTTCGAGCCAAGGGATTCAGGACTACAGTAGACGCTTTCATCGTCGGATCTCTCGGTGGATATTGCAGCCGCAATTGGACCGCGTTAGCAGCACAGGTCAATAAAAAGTATGCAGTGCTGATGAAGCGGTTGATGGTCTCCGACACGATCCGCTGGTCCCGAGATATCTACGTGGAGCACATCACCGGACACAGGCAGTACCAGGACGCAGGACCCACACCAGCAGCTACAGCACTGGAACGAGGACCACTGGATTGAGGAACAGGACCAACTGGACTCAACTATTATAATAAATGAAATATCTTAAGTCAGGAATATCTTAAGTCATGAATTATTTTAAGCTATCACTGTATAATAACAATAATGTATTTTTTCATTAAAAACATCGTTAGATAAGATCATTAGTTATAAATGTGATATACTTTCCATATATATTTTGTAAACTAGCTTTAGGAATCATTGTAAATATTATTTACTAAATAATGTATTATCTGTTCTTATCAGCTTAATATCTGATAGTATCTGCATAGCAGATCCAGTATATTAAACTGATTTTTGGAAATTGGCGGAATGTCAGGGGCTTGCTCCGCTTCCGCCGCGGGTTGGCCCGGTATTGCAGTACCGCCGGGATCGGCCCATAAAAAACCATCATATAATAATAAATTTAAAAATGTGCATATATTGCATATTAAATATATATATATATATATATAAATATATATAAATATATTGATATGTAATATCGATAATTGATTTCAAATTAACTATATAAATTAATTATATAAAAACTATAGAATTAATAATAAAATAAAAAAATATATAAAGCTATACAAATCTAACAAAAGATTATATATAACGATAATAGGATTGAAAAATTTTGCAAGTGTCAGAAAATACTTCATATAAATATGACAAAAAATGAGTTTAATATATATAAGTATGAACACACATCTATCGATAAAGAAATTAATATGAATATGAGCGTCTGTTCTCCTAATAACATATTTTTTTGAAAAATTTTGCAAGTGTCAGAAAATACTTTATATAAATATGACATAAAATGAGTTTAATATATATAAGTATGAACACACATCTATCGATAAAGAAATTAATATGAATATGAGCGTCTGTTCTCCTAATAACATATTTTTTTGAAAAATTTTGCAAGTGTCAGAAAATACTTCATATAAATATGACAAAAAATGAGTTTAATATATATAAGTATGAACACACATCTATCGATAAAGAAATTAATATGAATATGAGCGTCTGTTCTCCTAATAACATATTTTTTGAAAAATTTTGCAAGTGTCAGAAAATACTTTATATAAATATGACGATAAAATGAGTTTAATATATATAAGTATGAACACACATCTATCGATAAAGAAATTAATATGAATATGAGCGTCTGTTCTCCTAATAACATATTTTTTTGAAAAATTTTGCAAGTGTCAGAAAATACTTCATATAAATATGACAAAAATGAGTTTAATATATATAAGTATGAACACACATCTATCGATAAAGAAATTAATATGAATATGAGCGTCTGTTCTCCTAATAACATATTTTTTTGAAAAATTTTGCAAGTGTCAGAAAATACTTCATATAAATATGACGAAAAATGAGTTTAATATATATAAGTATGAACACACATCTATCGATAAAGAAATTAATATGAATATGAGCGTCTGTTCTCCTAATAACATATTTTTTTGAAAAATTTTGCAAGTGTCAGAAAATACTTCATATAAATATGACATAAAATGAGTTTAATATATATAAGTATGAACACACATCTATCGATAAAGAAATTAATATGAATATGAGCGTCTGTTCTCCTAATAACATATTTTTTTGAAAAATTTTGCAAGTGTCAGAAAATACTTTATATAAATATGACGATAAAATGAGTTTAATATATATAAGTATGAACACACATCTATCGATAAAGAAATTAATATGAATATGAGCGTCTGTTCTCCTAATAACATATTTTTTTGAAAAATTTTGCAAGTGTCAGAAAATACTTTATATAAATATGACAATAAAATGAGTTTAATATATATAAGTATGAACACACATCTATCGATAAAGAAATTAATATGAATATGAGCGTCTGTTCTCCTAATAACATATTTTTTTGAAAAATTTTGCAAGTGTCAGAAAATACTTTATATAAATATGACGATAAAATGAGTTTAATATATATAAGTATGAACACACATCTATCGATAAAGAAATTAATATGAATATGACCGTCTGTTCTCCTAATAACATATTTTTTTGAAAAATTTTGCAAGTGTCAGAAAATACTTTATATAAATATTTTTGTAAAATTTTACAAATGTGAGAAAAGGCTTATAACGACAGTAGAGTTAACAGCCATATTAGAACATTCGCTCATAGAACTTTGGGGGGTGAAGAATAGTTAGGGAATGGACGCGAGAGTTGATAAAAATAGATGAAAAATGAATCGTTGAAATAGTTGGGAATATTTTGTTTATATTGTAGAATTTAAAAAATAGTATTTGTCCGCAAATTTATCGCTTCTCGGCCGAATGGCTAAGATCAAAGTGTAGTGAAAACTTCTTTTGCGTTGATTATTGCCGCTTAAGAATATAGTTGGAACTATTATTTGAAATTAGTTTTTTCGAACCGATCGACGACGGGGAAGAAGGACGCTGGACCCTGGACCTGACTAAGGAGGACGCTGGATTCTGGACCTGACTAAGGAGGCCGCTGGACCCTGGACCTGACTAAGGAGGACGCTCGACCCTGGACCTGACTGACGAGGACCCTGGACGCTGGACCTGGACAGAGGAGAAAGCCGGACCCTGGACCCGGACCTGGACTTGGAACACGGACCCTGAACCCTGGACCCCGACCCGGATCTGGACTGAGGAGAAAGCTGGACCCTGGACCTTGGACCCCGGACCTGGACTGAAGTGGAGACCGAACCCTGGACCTGCCTGAACCTGAGCGCTAGACCGACTGCACGGGATTACCGGCTACGCTCACCGAAGGATAGAGGAGTGCCGAGAACGCTCACCGGTCGATAGCGGATCGACGCGTACGCTCACCCCGGGATAGAACGAGTAGGACCACACAATGGACGCCGCGGAAGGACCCTAGACCTGACCTGAATCTGAGCACTAGACCGACTGCATAGGACTACCGGTTACGCTCACCGAAGGATAGCGGAATGCCGAGTACGCTCACCGTGCGATAGAGGATCGACAAGTACGCTCACCCGGGATACAACAAGTAGGATTACACAATGGACGCCGCGGAAGCCAGAGAACGCTCGCCTGCTGGACAAGGAAGCATGGAGGAGACCGAGACGCCCTACACTGTGCTGGATGTACCGCTTGCGCCGCCGTTCAATTGCGTGCCCTGCCTACCTGTACCACGGGAGTACAAGACGCACAATGACCTGCTCAAGCATCTAAGGAAGGAGCACAATCGAGACATGATGATGAAGTTCAGATGCAGCCACTGTGGAGAGGTCCACTCTACACTGAAGCGAGCAACAGCACACATTAAAAGGTCAATGGAATGCAGCGACAACAGGCCGCCAAGCAGAACGACAGATGCCGCTCCAACACGCGTACGGCGGATTCGAATGCAGAGAACGCGAGAGTCGCCAGCAGCAGCGGAGGCCGTAGCAGCAACGGAGGCTGTAGCAGCAACAGAGGCAGTAGCGGCAACGGAGGCAGTAGCAGCAACGGAGGCAGTAGCAGCAACAGAGGCTGTAGCAGCAGCAGACATAGCAGCATCAGAAGCAGTAGAAGCAGCGGAGGCGGCAACAGCGGCAGTAGCAGTGACAGTAGCGGAGACTGTGCTACAAGAGGAATCGCCGACGCTGAGCAAACTACAAGAGGAGTTTGTTCTCAGACTGCAAGTAGTAACCTGCAGCGAGGATCTGGAGCGGGAGGTATCGGCGCTCGTAAGCAGACTGCAACCGGAAGACCAGGAGACCGCCGGAACGGGCTCCGAGAAGAGGAACAACTTCAACCACAGGCCGAGAGCAACAAATGCCGAGCAGGACGTTACGAGGGCGACACGCATCCAGAAGCTGTACCGGAGCGACAAAAAGAGAGCCTATAGAGAGATCACAGAGGAAAATGGAGGCAGAGGCTGTAGGGTTCCAACGCAGACTATACAGGACCACTTCATGGAACTATACAAGGAGAAGAACCATGCTGTTACCGGAAGCCCAGCTGAGATACCAACACCTGCGTCGGTCGCAATGAACGATCCCCTTAGCGCCGAGTTCACGCCGGAGGAAGTATGGCAGCGGCTACAACGGAGCAAGAACAGCGCACCGGGACCAGACGGACTTCGTTACGGCGTTTGGAAGCGGTACGATCAGGGAGGTCATATCTGCGCTGCTGTTTTCAACGCAGTTCGGAAGCTACAGCACGTACCGAGGAGCTGGGACGAGTCTAGCACCATCCTCATCCCGAAAAAAGGAGACCCCAGGGACATAAACAACTGGAGGCCGATCGCGCTATCGAACACACTAGGGAAACTCTACGCATCGGTGATCGCGAGCAGACTGTCCAAATGGTGCATAGAGAACGACCGCATCTCGCCGTCGCAAAAGGGCTTTATGCAGTATGACGGATGTGCAGAGCACAACTTCACGCTGCAGTCAATCATCCAAGACGCAAGGAGGAAGCAAAAACAAGCCGCCATAGCATGGTTAGACCTGAAAAACGCGTTCGGCGCCGTCCCGCATGCAGCGATGTTTAACGCCCTGGAATGGACAGGTCTCCACGCCGACTCCATCGCCGTAATCCGCAGACTGTACAGGGGATCGTACACTAGAGTTCGCGGCGAGCACGGAGCAACCGACGAGATCCCCGTTCGAGCTGGTGTAAAACAGGGGTGCCCCCTCTCCCCGATCGTATTCAACATCACGCTGGAACCGCTGCTGCACGCGCTAGCCAGGAAGGCCGACTACTACGAACTGGAGGGCCAGAAGTTCAACGTCCTGGCGTATGCTGACGACCTGGCCATCATCGGAGCCGACAGAGAGGGACTACAACGACTGCTGAATACGACGGAGACAATAGCCGCCTGGTCTGGGCTACAATTCAACGCCAGGAAGTGCGCGACACTGCACGTGGACGGACGACGACGCAGCGCGATCGGAACGACCTTCAAGCTGGGAGCAGAGAACCTGAGAGCACTTTCGCAGGAGGAGTGGTACGAGCACTTAGGCGTTCCCACCGGATTCTCTACGTTTTCGTCAGGGGAAGACGTATTAGAGCAGATGCAGCAGCACCTATCCAGAGTAGACGAGTCGCTGCTGGCGCCATGGCAGAAGATCGACGCAGTCAATACCTTCATCATGCGGCAGGTGGAATTTCATCTAAAGAATGGAAACGTGGCCAAGAAAATCCTGCACAGATTCGACAAACAGGTGAAGAGAAGCGTCAAGAAATGGGCGCACCTGCCGCAGAGAGCCAGCGCCGAGGTCCTATATCTGAGTTACAAAGAGGGCGGATTCAACATCCTACCAGCAGCGGTGTTGGCAGATATTGGACAGGTTGTACACGCCCACCGACTGCTGACATCAAAGGACAGGGCCACGTCAGAACTCAGCAGAGCCACGCTAGCAGACGTCGTCAGGAAACGTGTGGGACACGAACCCAACACGGAGGAGATCGTCGGATTCATAAATTTCGGAAGAAGTGGCGATCTCGACAAACCAGCGAACGACATTACGACGACGTGGTCGAGGCTCAGGACGGCAGTGCGAAGGCTGAAACCAAAGATCAACCTGCAGCTGGGATTGGACGAGCTAACCGTCGACAACGCGCCAGTGAGCAGGGAGAACGCAGAATCGAGCCTACGAGCAGCTGCACGACGGTTCTACAAGGAAAGATTACTCAGAAAACCGGACCAAGGAAAAGTGTTCGAGGTAACGACACAAAACTCTGCATCAAACCACTTCCTTAGGCAAGGCGGCTTCACCAGATTCGCAGAGTGGAAATTTATTCATCGAGCGCGGCTCAACGTTTTACCACTGAACGGGAGTCGTCCATTTGGCAGCGGCGACAAGCGATGCAGAAGATGTGGACAGCACGACGAGACCCTACCTCACGTCATCAATCACTGCAAGCCGCACCTGAGCGCCATTACGAGGAGACACGATAGCATCGTGCAGAGACTGATTACGGCGGCAAAGAAACCAGCGGACGGAGCCCTATACGCTAACCAGCCGATACCAGAATACGACGGTCAAGAGCGACCGGACATCGTTATCATAGACAACAAGGAGAAAACAGCTGCGATAATCGATATAGCAGTGCCCTTCGAGAACCGGACCGAGGCCTTCCAGACAACTAGACAGCTTAAGAAGGACAAGTACGCCGCACTTGCTGAGCACTTTCGAGCCAAGGGATTCAGGACTACAGTAGACGCTTTCATCGTCGGATCTCTCGGTGGATATTGCAGCCGCAATTGGACCGCGTTAGCAGCACTCAAGGTCAATAAAAAGTATGCAGTGCTGATGAAGCGGTTGATGGTCTCCGACACGATCCGCTGGTCCCGAGATATCTACGTGGAGCACATCACCGGACACAGGCAGTACCAGGACGCAGGACCCACACCAGCAGCTACAGCACTGGAATGAGGACCACTGGATTGAGGAACAGGACCAAACTGGACTCAACTATTATAATAAATGAAATATCTTAAGTCATGGAATATCTTAAGTCATGAATTATTTTAAGCTATCACTGTATAATAACAATAATGTATTTTTTCAATTTAAAAACATCGTTAGATAAGATCATTAGTTATAAATGTGATATACTTTCCATATATATTTTGTAAACTAGCTTTAGGAATCATTGTAAATATTATTTACTAAATACATGTATTATCTGTTCTTATCAGCTTAATATCTGATAGTATCTGCATAGCAGATCCAGTATATTAAACTGATTTTTGGAAATTGGCGGAATGTCAGGGGCTTGCTCCGCTTCCGCCGCGGGTTGGCCCGGTATTGCAGTACCGCCGGGATCGGCCCATAAAAAACCATCATATAATAATAAATTTAAAAATGTGCATATATTGCATATTAAATATATATATATATAAATATATATAAATATATTGATATGTAATATCGATAATTGATTTCAAATTAACTATATAAATTAATTATATAAAAACTATAGAATTAATAATAAAATAAAAAAATATATAAAGCTATACAAATCTAACAAAAGATTATATATAACGATAATAGGATTGAAAAATTTTGCAAGTGTCAGAAAATACTTCATATAAATATGACAAAAAATGAGTTTAATATATATAAGTATGAACACACATCTATCGATAAAGAAATTAATATGAATATGAGCGTCTGTTCTCCCAATAACATATTTTTTTGAAAAATTTTGCAAGTGTCAGAAAATACTTTATATAAATATGACGATAAAATGAGTTTAATATATATAAGTATGAACACACATCTATCGATAAAGAAATTAATATGAATATGAGCGTCTGTTCTCCTAATAACATATTTTTTTGAAAAATTTTGCAAGTGTCAGAAAATACTTCATATAAATATGACAAAAAATGAGTTTAATATATATAAGTATGAACACACATCTATCGATAAAGAAATTAATATGAATATGAGCGTCTGTTCTCCTAATAACATATTTTTTTGAAAAATTTTGCAAGTGTCAGAAAATACTTTATATAAATATGACGATAAAATGAGTTTAATATATATAAGTATGAACACACATCTATCGATAAAGAAATTAATATGAATATGAGCGTCTGTTCTCCTAATAACATATTTTTTTGAAAAATTTTGCAAGTGTCAGAAAATACTTCATATAAATATGACAAAAAATGAGTTTAATATATATAAGTATGAACACACATCTATCGATAAAGAAATTAATATGAATATGAGCGTCTGTTCTCCTAATAACATATTTTTTTGAAAAATTTTGCAAGTGTCAGAAAATACTTTATATAAATATGACGATAAAATGAGTTTAATATATATAAGTATGAACACACATCTATCGATAAAGAAATTAATATGAATATGAGCGTCTGTTCTCCTAATAACATATTTTTTTGAAAAATTTTGCAAGTGTCAGAAAATACTTTATATAAATATGACGATAAAATGAGTTTAATATATATAAGTATGAACACACATCTATCGATAAAGAAATTAATATGAATATGAGCGTCTGTTCTCCTAATAACATATTTTTTTGAAAAATTTTGCAAGTGTCAGAAAATACTTTATATAAATATGACAATAAAATGAGTTTAATATATATAAGTATGAACACACATCTATCGATAAAGAAATTAATATGAATATGAGCGTCTGTTCTCCTAATAACATATTTTTTTGAAAAATTTTGCAAGTGTCAGAAAATACTTTATATAAATATGACGATAAAATGAGTTTAATATATATAAGTATGAACACACATCTATCGATAAAGAAATTAATATGAATATGAGCGTCTGTTCTCCTAATAACATATTTTTTTGAAAAATTTTGCAAGTGTCAGAAAATACTTTATATAAATATGACAATAAAATGAGTTTAATATATATAAGTATGAACACACATCTATCGATAAAGAAATTAATATGAATATGAGCGTCTGTTCTCCTAATAACATATTTTTTTGAAAAATTTTGCAAGTGTCAGAAAATACTTTATATAAATATGACGATAAAATGAGTTTAATATATATAAGTATGAACACACATCTATCGATAAAGAAATTAATATGAATATGACCGTCTGTTCTCCTAATAACATATTTTTTTGAAAAATTTTGCAAGTGTCAGAAAATACTTTATATAAATATTTTTGTAAAATTTTACAAATGTGAGAAAAGGCTTATAACGACAGTAGAGTTAACAGCCATATTAGAACATTCGCTCATAGAACTTTGGGGGGTGAAGAATAGTTAGGGAATGGACGCGAGAGTTGATAAAAATAGATGAAAAATGAATCGTTGAAATAGTTGGGAATATTTTGTTTATATTGTAGAATTTAAAAAATAGTATTTGTCCGCAAATTTATCGCTTCTCGGCCGAATGGCTAAGATCAAAGTGTAGTAATAATATAATAATAATAATAAATAAATATATTTCAGTAGATATATATGTGTACATAGCATTTCTCATTTTGGATTTTTACCCGTAGGTATTTCATCCTTCATATTTGTTCTATCAATACAATAATAAGTATTTCAGATATACAAGTTGTGACATAATTCTGTGACAAAAAGAGGAAAGAAAATTTATTCCCCAAAAAAAATCACTTAGCACTATTTATAATAACACATAATAACTCAAAAAGGAGAAAAACAAAAAAAGATTTATTCACTTTGAGGGAGAATATTTGCGTCGAGCCAAGTTTCAATTGCCGCTATGGGTCGATCAGTATATATTTTGGCATGGCGTGATTGCCATACCAAATATCATCTCTTGTGTATTGGCCGAGGCCCGCGATGTTCATATTAGGATGATCCCCACATTTTAGATAAAAATTCTCAGTGAGCTTTTTTATGTAGTCGAGTATTGTCGGTACGTCAGTCTGTTTGTGTATGTATTTTGAAGAGTAGTAATGTCTAGTCAGTGGGTCCCTTATTTTGTTGAGTACAAGTCGTAGTGTCTTATTTTGTAATGTCTGTAGTTTCCGTAAGTTAGTCTTAGTCGTCGCGTTCCATGCCGGAGCGCCGTATGTCAGTATCGGTCTTATCAGTGTCAAGTAAAGTGTTCGCTTGTTCTTCACGCTTAGCGGGCCGTTGTGGTTCAAGAGAGGTCTCAGTAGATTTAACATCCCGTAAGCCTGTCCAATTTTCGTATTAATATGTTTTGTGAAGCTGAGTCTATGGTCCAGGGTCACACCAAGATATTTGACATCTTTGGACCACTCAACTTCACAGTTTAATACTTTAATTTTGTCTAAGTCAGTCAGTCTAGTCATGGCATTTCGGCTCTTAGTAAATAAAATTGCCTCCGTCTTTTGCGGATTTATCTTGATCTGCCATTTGTCAGTATATTTCGTCAGCTTGTCTATGTGTGTCTGTATCTTTGTAGTCAGTAGCGTCGGTGATCGTGATGATTTGTATATGGCAGTGTCGTCAGCAAACGTCAGTAAGGTGGTGTCGGCGTCAGTGGGTATGTCGTGAATGTAGACGTTAAACAGTGACGGTCCCAGGATCGAGCCCTGCGGTACTCCCGCCGTCACTTGTTTAACCGTCGAAAGTCCGTTGTCTACTTGTACGGTAAAGTTACGGTCTGAGAGGTATGAGTGTAATGTTCTTGTAATGTATGGTGGAAAATTCAGTTGTATGAGTTTATGTATAAGTCCGTCCATCCAGATGGTGTCAAACGCCTTCTCGAAATCAAGCAACACCAATCCGGTATGGTTTCGTCTGTTAAAATTGAGAACAGTATTTTCTATGAGTTTTGTCAGTGGGTGTAGTGTGGAGTGTCGTTCTTTGAAGCCGTATTGTGTGTCAGGTATGATTTTGTTGTGTCTTATGTGTTTGTTAAGTCTTTTGAGTAGTACCTTTTCGGCTACCTTACTCATTGTGTTGAGGAGGCTGATCGGTCTGTAGTTCTGTGGTATGTCTGGCTGTTTCCTTGGCTTCACTATTGGAAATATGGTGGAGGTTTTCCAAGAAGCGGGAAAGCAGCCTTTTGTCATTATTCTATTTATTATCCGGGTAAGTAAAATGTAGGCGTTGTCGGCAGTTGTTTAAGTATTATGTTTTGTAGTCCGTCCGGTCCCGGTGCTTTTCTGTTCGGTAATTTTTAACTATTGTCTTTATTTCAGAAACTGTGGCAGGGTCTATTCGTAAGTCTTTGTCCCTGTGGAGGTCAGTGAAGTTTTGAATTGTCTCGTGTACGTCTTGTTTCAGGTCTGCGTTTGACATATTGGCATTTTGTTTATGTATGTTTTCAAAGTTTTTTGCCAATATTTCCGCCTTGTCTGCTGGTGTCGTTGCGTAATTGTTGTCAGTTAATTTGAGTGGAGGTATGGATGTTGGTTTTTGCGTCAGTCTTTTTGCTGTCTGCCAAATTTTGTGTGGGTCAGTATTTATGTTCTCGAGTCTTTTGGTCCAAGTGTTGTTTCGGTGATCACGTATTTCATTGGAAATAATTTTTGTCAGTCTGTTCACATGTTCCTTGAGTAGTCTGTCACCGGTACGTTGCCACAGTTTCTTTATATGATTTTTAAGTTGTATTTTCAATAAAATGTGTTCTGGCAAGTCGTTGGCTGGTGTTGTTCTTGAGTCTAGTGTCGGTATAGTCTGTTGTACGGCGTCTGTGATTGTCAGTGTAAGGTGTGTTACAGCCTCCTCAATGTCAGTGTTGGTATCGATTGGCATAGTGTGTCGTGTGTTGTCTGTGATGATGTCTCTGAAAATTGGCCAGTTGGCTCTGGTGTAATCTAAAAATTTGCGTGTGGGGGTCTGGTCGACGTCTAGTCTGTCTGAAATGGTCATGAAAACTGGATTATGGTCAGAGTTGAAAAGTGTTCTTGTTATGGGTTCGGATGTTACGTGTAGATTTTTTGTCAATGCCAAATCGATCGTACTGTGATGGTGCGTCTGT